TGAGTTTACGCTAATGAGATTAAATTAGGGTAGGGCCCCCAAATAGCCGCGGATAAGGGAGGGTTTGCAGTCACCTGAAAGACCAAGGAACTCCAGGGCTGGAACCTTCAGCGCCTCCTGCTAACCTCCAGCAAGGAAGGGGGTGGCAACAAGAGGTTAAACTCTATAAAACTTTTCTGGCTAGGCGTGGTGGCTCACACCAATAATCCCGGCACTTTGAGAGGCCAAGGAGGGGGGTCATCTGAGGTCAGAAGTTCGAGACCAGCCCGATCAACATGGTGAAACCCCCTCTCTACTAATAATACAAAAAAATTAGCTGGGAGTGGTAGTGGGCATCTGTAATCCCAGCTACTTGAGAGGCTGAGGCAGGAGAATCGCTTGAACCCAGGAGGCCGAGGTTGCAGTGAGCAAAGACCGTGCCACTGCACTCCAGCCTGGGCCACGGAGAGAGATCTGTCTCATTTTTTATTTTTATTTTTCAGTTTCTGTCACTGAGGCCCACTATCTCCCTGGCTTTTTAATTTTTTGTATAGAGAAGTCTCCATATGTAGCCCAGGCTGGTTCGGAACTCTTGAATTCAAGGGATCTTCCTGCTTTGGCCTTCCAAAGCGCTGGGATTACAGGCATGAGCTGCTACCCTCAGCACTACAAAAACTCTTGAACAACTAGATCGGATGAGCTTCCAGGATGCAGAGCAGGTGGAGATGGTGGGAAGGTGGCGTGCCCAGAGCGGACGTGGACGCACCATCCTAGCCCCGCCCCAGCACACCCTGCCTGTGCGTCCATTCCATTTGCTGTTCCTGAGTTTGTATCCTTTATAATAAATCTGTAGGACTATGGACCCCACAAGGTCATGGGGTGTCCCTTATGCTGTGTAGGGGTGCATGATCCGAGAAGTAAAGAGACAGGACACTGAAGAACTGGAGAAGAGCAGCTGGACTCAGGGGCCACACCACCTATGAGTGGAGACAGGTGAGGCCCCGAACGTCCAGAAGCATCTGTATTTATTAGGTACAAGCAGGGGGCAGGGTCGTGAGTGAGGTCATCACCTATAGGCTTAGTGATAGGGCATACATAATCACGTGAGTCACAATCGAGGGGACCACCCCATTATGTCACCTGGGCAGAGAGGTGGGCCGTGCGTAGTAGTAGAGGGTCATGTACAGAAAAGGGGTCCACCCCCATTAGGTCACCGAGGCAAGGAGGTGGGCTGTGTGTAACAGGTGTCCCGCGCAACACTTCTTAATAGGGGCTGGAGACTTCAAAGGATTTCTGATAGAATACTGTAAGCCAATGTAGTGGGAGCTGGCAGACTTGTGCTCTTCTCTTAAGATATTTACGGGAGGATGATTTGCCCTATCACAGAAGTGAGAAAAGACTGACAGGGTGCACAGACGCCGTGACTGGTCACACAGAGGGGTTCTTCTCCCTAGTTATCTGCGGGATCTCAGGCCCGAGGCCGACTTTCCACAGGAACTGGATGCAAGGTGCTACAACTCCTTTATCAGGAGGAGAGACACTTGCTCCAAGCCTGCCATACAGAGTATGCCCTTTCAGGCAGGGACGCCACCGCCTGGGTCTTTGGTTCTCGTCCTGGTCTGGCTGTTTTCCCATGTACTGCTTCTGTGCTGTGACTGCTCTAGGCATTCCTCCTACTACAGACTACTATATGGTTCTATGGAAGGATTCTATAAATCAGCACTAAATGTGTCGGTACAGCTTCGACTGCAATACCTGTGTGATTATATAGAAAGATTATATGGAACTAAGTATGATTATATATATATAATCTAGATATAGCAAGCAGTAAGTTATACTTCAGGTACTAATGCTATAAAGTAAATATGATTGTATATAAAGGATTATGTAAAGGAAATAGCTGAGCAATAACACTATAAACTAAGATATTCTTCAGGCACTGATTGTGCCTGGGGTTTGCACCGCTCTCCTTCCTCGGTGCCCAAGTGGGGGGTTACCCATGTAAATCCCTGAAGTGTCTCCGAGTTCTGTGAGCTGCTCTAGCAAACAATGGACCATTAGGGGAGTGCCATGAGAACCCCCAACTGACAGGCAGTACCGGAGGCCTGAGCTTGGACTTGGGATTGACTTCTGAATCGGGTGCGGTCTGTGGGACTGAGCTTCACCGGTGGGGTCGGTGCTGACAGGGTCAGCGCTGGATGAAACTGTAGGACCACTCGGCTGGTATTTGGAGAACCACTTGGTGTGGAAATAAACGCCCACATCTGGTGTCAGAAGTAGAGAAACACAGTGTGTTTTCCCCAAATTGTTGTCAGAATTGTGAAAGGAAAATGAAATTTGGAGACCCCAAACCTACGATGCCAAAGGGAAGAGCTAAGCTGGGAAGCCAAGTGACACAAACCTGCCTTTCCTTGTGTTCCTAACACAGAGCAATAAGACAAGAGGCCACAGGAGGAGAGAGGCCACCCTGGCAATGTCAACTAACAGCTTATCTTCACCAGCAAGGAGACCAGAAGTGGCCTCCCCATCGCCACCCAGCTCAATGCAGATTTGACTTCTTTCTCCTCTCTGTATTTATCTTATGTGAAGTGCAGTTTTACTCAGCTCCGGAAGAATAGATACTGGATCCTTCCCCTACCTCCGCCTTTTCACACGCAGCCCGTGGATTCAGTGAATGCTCACCAACACCTCAAAAGAATGTGGCCATGCCCTCCATACCCTTCCTGTTTTGTTTTTTTTCTCAGATGGTGGTTCTGTCAGTGTTGGAAATAGACGTTCAGTGCTGTAAGGAAAAATTAGCACTGAGACAGAGGATTTTTTAGCCGCGCAATTTTTACTTCCTGGACCACAGGAAGGGTACCCTCACTAGCCATCTTGCCACAAGAAGAGAATGAACAAAGGAAAACACACAAATTTATCCCTTATGCTTTTGGGGTCGTCCTCACTGCTGTGTCTGATCTCCGTTGGCTGCAGCCAGACCTCCCAATCTAAACTAAAACCCGATTGGCTACAACTTAAAACTTTTCTAAACAGGTAAAACCCATGGAGAGCTGCGACATGCCTGTGAGCACGTCCAGCACAGATATCTTGGTTAAAGTACAAGGACATAGAATGTACTACGTGCCTGTAAGCATGGCATGTCTAACAGCTATGTAGGATAGGGCTTCACAAAGAGTTATTAGCACACTTATTTTTTTAACAAGAAAGAAAACTTTAAAGAGAAACTTTTCTACTTCGCACAGTTGGGCAGGCTGAAAGGTGATGGTGCGATCTTGGCTCACGGCAGCCTCCACCTCCTGGGTTCAAGCAGTTCTCCTGCCTCAGCCTCCCAAGGAGGTAGAACTACAGGTACCTGCCACCACACCCAGTTAATTTTTGTATTTTTAGTAGAAATGGGGTTTCACTATGTTGGCCAGGCTGGTCTCAAACTCCCAACCTCAAACGATCTGCCCACTTTGGCCTCCCAAAGTGCTGGGATTACAGGTGTGAGCCTCTGTGCCCAGCCCTGCACTTTTCCTTTTTAATTGTTTTTTTTTGTTTTTATAGAGACAGGGTTTTGTTATGTTGCCCAGGCCAGTCTTGAACTCCCAGCCTCAAGCAATCCCCCCACCTCAGCCTCCCAAAGTGCTGGAATTACAGATGTGAGCCACCACGCCCAGCCTCATAGCTCACATTTTGATGTAAAGAGCCAAATCCCACCTCATTTTAAGGCTAGAGCTCCACCCCAAAGTGAACATGGAATGTGTATGTTACACGCATGTTTGCCCATTGCACATACACTCAACCCCCCTTATGAACAGATACAGCAATTCCTCCAAACCTACTGAATCCATGTGACTCTCTGTGTGATACAGGCCCTGTGAAGTATCATCCCCACCTGCCCCTTCCCTCTTGGAAGACAGCAAACCTTCAGTCCACGCCAGAGACGATCTATTCCTGATTTGCAAGCTGATCTCACCAATCCAGCTATACTTTCCACTATCTGGCCATCCTGGTGGCCTTTGAAATGATGAGCCACTAGCCTCAAGCTGACTCCCAAGGGCAGAATTATGCAGGAACGACACTAAGTGTCTCTGAGACCTCTGGTCACCAACAAGGCTGTCCACAGGGAAAAGACCAAACCAAGCAATGGCCAAAACCGGGCGCAGAGTGGGGCGGAAGGGCTGCATTGTGCGGGTCCACGATACTGGCTCCCTGGGGAGCCTTTAGGAACAGGGATTCTAGTAGTACCTGATTTGGGAGCAGTGTCTTCGGTTTTAAATGCCGCAGGGTGGAAGAGTGTGTTTGGTTGACATAGCACCCGCAGCTTACCATGGGACAATCAACGGGGGCTGTACCTGATTCAGACATGCAGAAGGTGACTCCTGAGGGGACAGCTGGACTGCTGGACTGGGTGAAAGTCCCTGTAGGATCTGTGTGCCCTGAGAAGGGAGGCTGTTCCTTCCACCCTCTAAGTGCCAAGTGGAATGTCCCAGATGGAGTAGCTGATCAGATTTGTACACAAGCCATTTGATGCTGGCCTTGTGATGAACAGAATATGTTTCTACTGGACAAGCACATTACCCATGTCATGGAAGATGCCCGGTGTAAGGGGCATGTTCTGCGTGAGCACCTCATGTGACCTCAGTGCTGTAAAATCCAGCAACATTCCAAGAAATGTTATCGAATTTGCTCTCAGCTTCACCTTGGGGGTCTTCAGATAATAATAAAAACAAATTAATTAATAAGAGAAGGGGAAAGGCAGAGGGGAGGAGAGTCAAAATGAGGAGGGAGACCCAGGCATCTCAGATCAACTTCCCCTTTTCATTCCTAAGACTGTAAACTTCCCCTTTTCATTCCTGAGACTGTAAACCGAACCCTTTTCATATGTAATTCCTGAGACTGTAAACTGAGACCCTTTTCATATGTAATCCCTGAGACTGTAAACTGAGACCCTTTTCATATGTAATCCCTGAGACTGTCAACTGAACCCTTTTCATAAGTAATTCCTGAGACTGTAAACCGAACCCTTTTCATATGTAATTCCTGAGACTGTAAACTGAGACCCTTTTCATATGTAATTCCTGAGACTGTAAACCGAACCCTTTTCATATGTAATTCCTGAGACTGTAAACCAAACCCTTTTCATATGTAATTCCTGAGACTGTAAACTGAACCCTTTTCATGCATAATCCCTGAGACTGTAAACTGAACCCTTTTCATATGTAATTCCTGAGACTGTAAACCGAGACCCTTTTCATATGTTCAGCTATAAACCTAAGATTCTTCCACGTGTAACATCTAAAGTATAAGCCTATATAAAGACAGAACCTTCCTTTGTTAGGGGAGCTTGGCTGTTAGGCAACTGTGCCACCTTGCTCCCGGCCGAATAAACTCCTTCCTTCCTCCTGTATTCGGCGTCAGAGAGATCCGTTGCCCTCGGCCGCTCCTGCTACGAAAAGACTCAAAGATAAAGGCCATTAAGAAATTAAGTAACCAGGTGCAATGGCTCATGCCTGGAACTCCAGCAATTTGGGAGGCCGAGGCAGGAGGATAGCTTGAGCCCAGGAGTTCCAGACCAGCCTGGGAAATATAGGAGGACTCCATCTCTACAAAAAAATATAGATTATAAAACATTAGCCAGGCATGGTGGCAGGAATGCACCTGTAGTCTCAGCTACTCAGGAGGCTGAGGCAATAGAATTTCTTGAGCCCAGGAGGTCAAGCCTGTGCAGTGAGCCATGATTGCAGCACTGCACTCCAGCCTGGGTGAGAGAGTGAGACCTTGTCTCCAAAAAAAAAAAAAAAAAAAATCATACTGTAATCTCAGCACTTTGGGAGGCTGAGGCAGGCAGATCACATGAGGTCAGGGGTTCGAGACCAGCCTGGCCAACATGGTGAAACCCTATCTCTACTAAAAACACAAAAAAATTATCTGGGTGTGGTGGCAGACACCTGTAACGCCAGCTACTCGGGAGGCTGAAGCAGGAGAGAATTGCTTGAACCCAGAGGCAGAGGTTGCAGTGAGCTGAGATTTTGTCACTGCACTCCCTCCTGGGTGACAGAGTCAGACTCCATCACACACACACACACACACACACACAAAATCAAATGAATAAAGAAACATATAAGGTTACAAAAACTAGAGGAAAAGAAAGAGGAGAGAGCCATGGGACCATTCCCAGCAGGGTGGACATCTTTAGATGATTATTAAAAAATGAGACGAATAACATGAACATTATGGGTTAAAACAAAGGTCTTGGGCCGGGCGCAGTGGCTCAAGCCTGTAATCCAAGCACTTTGGGAGGCCGAGGCGGGTGGATCACGAGGTCAAGAGATCGAGACCATCCTGGTCAACACGGTGAAACCCCGTCTGTATTAAAAATACAAAAAATTAGCTGGGCGTGGTGGCGTGTGCCTGTAATCCCAGCTACTCAGGAGGCTGAGGAAGGAGAATTGCCTGAACCCGGGAGGCGGAGGTTGCAGGGAGCCGAGATCGCGCCATTACCACCATGCCTGGGTAACAAGAACAAAACTCCGTCCCAAAAAAAAAAAACAAAGGTCTTGCCAGGCATGGTGGTGCGTGCCTATAGTCCCAGCTACTCGGGAGGCTGAAGTGGGAGGATCTCTTGATCCCAGGAGTTCTGGGCTGTAGTGTGCTATGCTGATCTGGTGTCTGCACTAAGTTTGGCATCAATATGGTGACCTCCTGGGACCACCAGGTTGCCTAAGGAGGGGTGAACCAGCCCAGGTCGGAAACAGAGCAGGTCAAAATTCCCATGCTGATCAGTAGTGAGATCGCGCCTGTGAATACCACTGCACTCCAGTCTGGACAACACAGCGAGACCCCGTCTCTGAAAAAAAAAAAAAAAAAAAAGTCTCAATAGAACACTATGGAAGGTTGAGTGGGCCAAAGAGAGCCTTTGCTTGTGGTGCCCACATGAACGGCCTCCAAACATGTTTGCAGTATTTATCTCAGTTTGGAGAATTTTTAAGTCAGAGGGCAATGGTTACAATGAGAAATATGATCTGAAATTGTGTGGTATGATAGCCAGGTTAATCAAGATAAAAATTGACAAAAGGACCAGAGTCCCTTGGGTCAACCCCCTAGTGCGGACCCAAAGTCTTTCGTAGAACAGAAGGTAAAATAGGGGGTGGGCCCAGCGCGGTGGCTCACGCCTGTAATCCTAGCACTTTGGGAGGCCGAGGTGGGTGGATCACCTGAGGCCAGGAGTTCAAGACCAGCCTGGCCATCATGGTGAAACCCCATCTTTAAAAAAAAAAAAGAAGCTGGGTGCGGTGGCTCACGCCTGTAATCCCAGCACTTTGGGAGGCCGAGGCGGGTGGATCACGAGGTCAAGAGATCGACACCATCCTGGTCAACATGGTGAAACCCCGTCTCTATTAAAACTACAAAAAATTAGCTGGGCATGGTGGCGTGTGCCTGTAATCCCAGCTACTCAGGAGGCTGCGGCAGGAGAATTGCCTGAACCCAGGAGGTGGAGGTTGCGGTGAGCGGAGATCGCGCCATTGCACTCCAGCCTGGGTAACA